TATCACACTAAAAGCAGACACACTGTGTTTTCACCTGCATTTTCATGTGCAAATGTGGCCGAATGGTATTTTCCCATTTAATCATCTTATGGTGGGAAAATGCTGCCACTTCTGTCCCCCTAACTGAAATGCACTTAAACCGCAAAATATGTTAATCCTTTTGAAAAGAGCACTTTCTCGGTGTCGTATTTGGCGAAATGAGAAGCGATTACGATTAGGATATGGCCAAAGGATCCAAAGGATCCGAAGAAATAACATCTGCAATGTCCTAAATAGTGTAAATTCAGCTCAAAAATATACGGAAACGGAAAAGGAAAACCCGTATGTGTGTGAGTGTCTGCAAAAGGGAATTTTAATTGTGCCGAAGGATGTGTCGCGACGAAATCCCAGCTCTCCGAGGACGAATGCATACCCTTGCATAATTTTCGACATTTAATCGGATTACGGCATTGAGTCGTACGGATGCGTCCTTGGTTAAATACATTTACGATAGAGACAGATTTAAGGCGCACAGATTTAATAATATTAAGTGACATCTGTGTGTTGTCTTCCCAGGCGGCAATCGCTCCCAAAAAACCGACTACTGGTGGCCACCAGAAAACCATGACAATTAATTGCTATCCACAATCTTCACAGTCACAGTCACAGTCACAGTTACAGTTACAACTATAGTTACACCTTCGGTTACGGTTACGGTTACAGTCACTGAAATACATATATACAACCAGATTCTGACCAAAGTGCGTGGGCGTGCGTTTAATGTCTCTTTGATTTTCACACCAGCAGCAGCAGCAGCAGTAGCAGACCTGGATTTCCCTCCCTTAGCTATTTTCCACGCCTCAATTTCCACTTGGTTTTATCAGAGGGCGGACTTAATTACGCACGTATGCCTGTTTAAATTGGGTTTGCGTTGGGTTTCGTTACCGGGGAATGTTAGTTTTATGTTAATTAAGTATTGTTTATGTCAATTAGGGCAAGCGAGAATCGAAGGGGAGGAAAAGCGGGTGCAAATTGTATTAACTTGGCCCGGGAAAGGAAAAACGGGAAATTAATGCGACTAGCAACTAGGTGGCAAATAGACAACTTAATAGGGTCATATTGGTTGGGGTTTGGTTAGAGCTCCCCAAGATGCAATTAAGATAAGCTAAATCATGGTTAAGGAAAGCGGAAAGTATGTATTTAGTTTTGGGGTTATTTTGCGGAAGTCTTTGACTAGATTTCAAAGGGGTTTCTGATCTAAAACGTCCCTGCCTAAACGAAAGCTCTCTCCTTTTAGATCTTCATCGTGTCAAGCCAGTTTATTCGCCAGGTCCCGACGGAATTCCAGGCTGTGTGCTCAGGTATTGCGCCGACGCCCTGTGCTATCCCCTTCTGAAATTGTTTACCTTGTCCTTAGAAACCTCCCACTTTCCCATTATTTGGAAGGAATCGTTTATTATTCCTCTCCACAAAAAAGGTAGCAAATTGGATGCCAGCAATTATAGAGGAATCTCTAAGTTGTCGGCCATCCCAAAATTATTTGAAAATATTATCACCCCTCATTTACAGCACCTTTGTAGATCGGTTATTTCTCCATGTCAACATGGTTTTATTAAGCGAAGATCAACAACAACAAATCTTTTGGAGCTCTCTTCCTATATTATAAAGGGCTTCCATAATAATTGTCAGACAGATGTAATCTATACTGATTTCAGTAAAGCTTTTGACTCTGTTAACCATTCTCTCCTCGTTAGAAAACTCGATTCAATGGGTTTTCCAAGTGATCTTCTTAATTGGATCTCAAGTTATTTGAATGGCAGGACGCAAAAGGTCCTCTTTAAGAATAATTTATCCAATGTTCTAAGGGTTACATCTGGCGTCCCGCAAGGAAGCCATTTGGGACCCTTATTGTTTACATTATTTATAAATGACCTGCCCAAAGTCTTGACTAACTCCAGAGTACTTATGTACGCGGATGACGTCAAGCTTTGCGTGCAATACAATGACGTTGCCTGCCAGTCGGATTTACAAACAGATCTTAATAATTTTCAAACTTGGTGCCGTGTAAACTTATTAAACTTAAATGACTCGAAATGCAAGCTAATGACATTCTCACGTGTCGTTCCTAAGCTTGCTACTTACACGCTGAACTGCTGCTCTTTGGAAAGAATTAATTCTGTTGACGATTTGGGCGTCCGCTTGGACCCTAAACTTGACTTTATTGATCATATTTCGTCTATGGTGAATAGAGCCAGGGGTGTGCTTGGATTTATTAAACGGTGGTCGAAGGAATTCAATGACCCCTATGTTACTAAATCCTTATATACTTCCTTAGTTCGTCCTATCCTAGAATATGGATGCTGCGTTTGGAGCCCTCAGTACGGCGTCCATAGTAAACGCATTGAGTCGGTTCAAAAGAACTTTTTACTTTTCGCTCTACGCGGTTTAAATTGGGATGCAAACCAAAGATTACCTTCCTACTCTAGTAGACTCCTATTAATAAACTTGCCGTCCTTAGCCAATCGTAGAACGATGCTAGGGATAACCTTTATTTTTAACCTTATACATGGTGATGTGGAAAGTGCTGACTTGTTGAGTCAGCTTAATTTCCATGTACCATGTAGAACTACTAGATCCTATATCCCATTAGTGTTGCGCCACTGTAGAACCTCCTTTGAACTGCATGAACCTTTTAGAGTGCTATGTGCAAATTATAATGATTTGTACACACTAATCTCTAACGTAGATACCCTTCCTAAATTAAAATCTTTAATACTAACACACTTAGTAAGCATGCAAGCTAACAATCTGGCAGCACGCCGGTAGTTCAATTTTCCTCGTATTCTGTCCTATATTTTCCATCGCGCCTACTAACACCTAACCCTAACAGGCACGTGCCTGGTGTCATACGGGCCACTTGAATGTACTGAACTTAGTGCATCAACGTCCAAGAATAAAAAAAGGAAACTGGAAAGTAAAAGAATCTATAGAAAGTGGTCAAAATGTTGGCAATGAAAGAAGGTCTCAAAATTAATGTACTCTAAGCACCTAAAACTATAAGCACCTGTTTATTACTATAAAAGAAAAGTGTGCTTCAAATATAATAACTTGTTTATTTTGGTATAAGCTTAGTCCCTAAGTAAGTCTCATTTCACCTTCTGAACCGGCATGCCAACATTGCTTGGATCCTGTTTTTGGATTACTGAGCATATCACAGTTTGAACCTCCTGACCCCGAACATGATTTTGAAATTAAATCCAGCCGCCGGTCTAGGCTCTGGAAGGGAATCCATCTTGTGACACACAAGAAACTGAAAGAGAAGTGTGGCGCTCACAAAGGAAGGACACTCGATAGGCTCCACAGCAGCTCCTCTCTCCTAACTCAAGACTTTTGTTACACAATGCCGGAGACACTGCTGTTGCCATTGACAATGGCATATGGTTACAGACACACCAGACAGACAGTACTCCCATCCGGCACGGAGTGGCCACGTATATATGCTTTCCATTCCACTTAAGCTCCGTTAAACATATTTAAAGTACGTGATGTTAAGTGTCTCCGGAGCATTTGCAACCACTCCAACCTTCTTTCCTCCATAAGCAAATTTTAATATGTTTAACTCGTTTTTTTTGGGCTGAGAGCAGCGAAACTTGTGGCGTTAATTTTTAACGGGCCGATGCTTCGAGCCGACAGTCTAGGCCCGGCATCGTACATAAATGTCAACCCGACGCGCTCATCCATCAATGAGTCCTGAAAAATTAACACTGTGAGTGACAGTGGCAAAGGACTTTCTCCTTTTCAGAGATAGGGAAGTGGGTTATGGGTTGTGGGCTATGGAAAGTGGCTCTGCCTGTGGCCTGTCGCTTTAAATTATGCAAAACGTTACAATTCCCTGCCAAAGGTATTGCCAAATGATGAATTGTGTGTGTGTGTTTGTGTGTGGGAACTGGGGAATTTGCGAGGGCAGTTTCATAGATTAAATTTGATTATGCTACATTACCCGACAACGACAACCAGTCCGCTACGTGATCAACTAAAGGACTTATGGCCGGCCATCGCTGAGGGCCATAAAGCCATTCCGCAGTTCTGGAGGGGGCCAAAAACTAAAAGGATTATCGTTTTAAAAATGCATGAGAAACTTTCGGTTTTGGTTCTCTCGATGGAACGATTAAAAAAAAGGGGTTTGTCTGTATCTAAACTGAATTAATTATGTGTTTGAAAAGGCATTAAAAAAACTATATAGCATGAAATTGAAATTGGTAGATTAAGTGAAAAAATATTATTTTGCTAAATGGTTAAGCTTAATGGAAAATGTATTATTTGACTTCATTAAGAGATGGTATTTATATTTTTAAGAATTATAAATTGCAAAACTAATGAAAATGAGCTTCAAATTTGGCATTTACCCTTTTCATAGCATACTTTTTTGGGTGATTTTGTTGAAGTGATTTCAAAATCTCTTGACCGCAAACTTTTTTGCTTCTAGCTAGCTTAATGCATTTAAATTTTATGAAAACCGTAAAAAGAGTCAAAGAACTCGTGAACCAATCTCAATGACTCATTAATTAGAACTTGACTCGACTCAATTAGGAAAATCCACGTCGTTTTTTTCCTTCATTTGCTACGATTTTGGCTCTTTTTGATTCGCTTTCACTTGCTCTATTTCTATTTTTTTTTTGCTGTTTCTCTGAGACTGTCTTTCATCAATTCGAACTCGAAATCACAAATTCCACTCTCTCTGCACATGGCACAGACACCAGACCACATCAAGCAGATCCTTAAGGAAACACACAACACCATTAGCACACCACCACCACCACCCCTCACGTGCCCCCCTCACAGCTTGCTAATGCGTTTTTTACGAATTTCTCTCTTCTCTAATTCTAGTTGTGCTTTTGTATTTGCCAATTTTAATGAGTGTAGCAAATCCAAATCCAAAACAAAAACAAAAACCAAAGAAACAGAAACAGAAACTTTAGAGAAAACAACAACCACAACAACAACAAAAAATACACCACAAAACTCCAACAAACAGAGCATTTTGTACAACAACAGGCTATAAAGACTCATTTGAATTGAAATAAATAAAACAAAAAGAACAGCAAGCACGTACACAATGTGACAATAAAACAGGCAGCGCAGCAGTAGCATCTAAAAAGCCAAAAAGGAATTTAATTGCACGCACTAGAGACAGGACGAGAAACGAGAGCCGAGCATCTGCGGTGTTAGCCATAAATGAAACCCAAATAGCCAGGAACACAAAGCAGGAGAAACCACAACACAGTGATAAAGCCAGAAAGAAACGCACAAGAAACCCACAGAGAGAGAGAGAGAGTATTCAACAACATCAACAACACCCTTGTCTTGCCGAATGTCCTTGCACCTTTAAGCTCTCCGTGTCAGTGTCCTCCCCCAGTGTTTACATATATGCGTGTGTCCATCATCACCACCTACTTCCCCCTCATCCGAACCACGATCGGTGTGCGTGTATATGTGTATAGCAGCACCATCTAGAGCACCAAAAGTTAAGAAATCAAGCAAAAGATCCAAGCACCCACAGAATCAAATCACAATAAACTAAAGAAACCACCAATTAAGCAACAACAAATAAACGCGTGAAGCCACCAGAACAACCAAACCAAAACCAGCCACCAAAAAAAAAAGTGCATCCAGCCAGCTGAACCGATCGCACTCTCTGTGAAGTCTCCCTGAGGGCTGACAGGTCAGAGTGAATCACCCTAGAACCAACCTTAGCTTAGCCTAGTCTAGCTTAGTCTAGTCTAGCCTCCTTGGTAGCTCCCGCTAGCTCCGATCCCCGATTGATCCACCACCACCTAACCACATACCAGCACCACAATTGCACATTACTACCATAGATACCCCCGGCAGTACTACTACCGCATGGAGCGCGGCACCAGCGGTGGTCAGCAGCAGCAGCATCAGTCGTCGTCGCACCACCACCAGCAGCAGCAATCGCACCACCACCAGCAGCAGCAGCAGCAGCAACAGCAGTCGCATCATCATCAGCAGCAACAGCAGTCGCGACACCATCAGCATGTGGTGGCTGTGCATAGCTTTGATCCATATCTGACCGCCGGCGGGGCGGATGAGGAGCATACATCGGGCACCTCGTCCTTTGACAATCCCGCCACTAAAAAGAAACCACCCAAGCTGAAGCCCATCCATCGATCCCTGTCCATGGCCATCGATAATTATGCACCGACGTCGTCTTTGGGTGAACTCGATTATGACATGGAAATGGGCATGGAGATGGGCATGGACATGGATTTGGACACCGAACTGGATATGGATGGCGAGGGGATTGTCATCAGTGAGAAGCCGCTGATCCACCGCTCGGCCTCGCCCCTGCCCCATTCCCGATCCGGAGCCCTACCCCCGCAGACCCTAGCAATCCCAGCACATCAGCAACAGCAACAGTCCTCCCATCCTAGCCTGCAGCGTGGCGGCAGTGGTAGTGTGTCGCCAGCGCTATCAGCCCGACAGCAACACCATCATTTACTCCAACAACAACAACAACACCAACAACAACTTCAACAACAACAACACCAACAGCCACACCAACAACAACAACAACAACAAGCGCAACAACAGTTGCATTTGCACACTTTTCAGCAACTGGCCGCACAGGCCGCTGCTGCACGGCATCCGCACCAGCAGCATACACTATCGCACCGCCAACAACAACAACAACAACAACTACAACAACATCCGCATCAGCTTCAACATCCGCAACAACATTCGCAACATCCGCATGCGCACCCGAAGAGCTCACCAACCTCACACGCAGTTAGCCCGGTGCTGGGCCAGCAGCATCGCCAGCAGCCGGACATATATCTGGTCAGCAGCAGCACAAGCCTGGGCGATGGTGTCGGTGTGGCCAGTCTGGGATTGGGCATGGGGATGGGGATGGGGATGGGCATGGGCATGGGTCGATCGTTGGGCGGGAGCACATCGCCCATTCAATTCATCGATGTGGACGATGTTGTGCCCGGCCAAACGGTTGCCTCGCAGCGGCCCATGCACACGCATCCGCTGAAGAAGAACCTGTTCCGGCGCTCCGACACCATTGACGTCCATCCGTCTACCAATTTTCAGATGAAGAAAACGCATTCCTTCCACGCGCAACAGGATCCCGCCGCCCTGGACCAAATACAGCTGGCCGTGGCCGCCGGCTCGGGTGCATCGAGTCGTCGCACAAGCTCGGTGCGTGGCAATTTCCTAATGCCGGGTCCCCCGGCGGGTGCCAAGGAGATCTCACGTTCACCCTCGCCCAGCCGTCGAGGCTGTCGTTCGCATCGATCCTTTAACGATCCGGGCCGGAGGCCAAGTGTCAAGCCCGATTCGGTGGTGGAGTCGCAGATAAGACATCCCTCGCTGAACGATGATCTGATGGAGCCGATGAATGGAAGGAATCTCTTTGGGGCGCCCACCAATCTGTCGCTGGAGAATGAGCTATTCGTGGACACCCGTTCGCGGAGCAATAGTCACACCAAAATGGAGGAGCTCGGCCTGGCGGAGATCACTGCCGCCGCTGTGGCAGTGCAGCGTCTGCGCAAGCACTCCGGAGCGGGTTCCTTTGAGGATGCGGCCGCCGGACATAGTGCCACCCACCCGCCTTCGGCAGCGAATAGCGTGAAGCAGAAGCGGGATTCGCATCATCCCCATACCCGCCAGCAAAGTACCCACAGCCTGGAGCTGGACGGACGTCCCTCCACCTCGGCGGCAGCAGCAGCAGCAGCAGCGGCGGCAGCTGCAGCCGGCGGGGGACATGGAGGAGGACTGCAGCTTCATAGCGCAGCGGCGGCGGCCAGTGCGGCGTACCACTTCAAGCGGGGCGCCCAGCATGGCAGATCGCTGTACCTGTCGCCCAGCAACCTGGAGGAGATGGCCGTCCATCGGCCAGGTGTTCTGGCCGCAGCAGCCGCCTTCCAGGGCACCAATGCCAGTGCCAGCGTGAAACAGGCCAAGGCCCTGCACAGCGCCAGTGTGCGGCTGCGCAGCTACCGGGAGACCCTCAGTGCCTCCAAGAAGTCCAAGAGCTTCATCGGAGATGCCAGCGCTGGCAGCGGTCCGCAGGCGGGCGACGACTTCGAGCTGAGCTCACCCCACCGACGCAACAGTCGCCCGCTGTCCACGGCCGTGCCGGGTTCCAGCATCGAGGAGATTAAGCGGAGTCCCAGGCCCATCTCTGCATCGGCGGCAGCTGCGGCCTTCATCGAGGAGAAGCGTCCCAGCTTCGAGAGGAAGACCTCTCTGACCTATGACCATGAACTGAGCGATGCCGCCTTTGCCGCCCAGGTGCTGAGACCCTTCCATCATAAACTGGCTGCCGGAAGGAAGGGCTCGGTGACGGGGGGCTCACACAAGCTGAAGAAGAAGTCGCTCAGCGATGAGACGGACGAGGACGAGGCGGCGGACCGCAAGCGCAAGCGCATCGTGTGCATTGTCCTGTCCACGGTGCTGTTGTGCCTGGTGTGCGCCAGCGTGTTCGTGCTGACCATCACGCTGACCTCCAGCTCCGGCCAGGCCGGCAAGAAGGCGCACTCGTTCAGCAGGGACACCCCCGTCCACTGGACGGGCATGCGACCATCATGAACTCGAACGCACAGGCTTCGCTCTGGCCAATACACCATCGACCTGCCGACTCTGCTGGACACGATATCGTTAAGGTTTACGTTTACGTTTTCGCTTCCGCTTCCGCTTTTGCCACAGCTTCCACATCGTCTTCGACTACATGCTTTCGTTCCGCTCCACATTGTGCTTCCCCTGCGTCTGCCGGTTCTCTCTGGTTCTGGTTCTGGTACTGGATCCCACATCTGATGTCCTGCCACCAAGGAGGAAAAGGAGCAGCTACCAACGAGGAGTCTGTAAGTAGGCAAGGTCTTGTGTGCTTGTTGTTTGCTCTCCCAGGACAGAGATGGAAGCGAAGGCTTTGATTATTTTCCAGCAACTGAAAAGATTTTAAAGTTAGTCAAGAGAAGTCATAAAATTCAGAAAGCATTTTAAAATTGAATTCAAAAATCCCATCATGCAACAATCGGAATTCTCTGATGCATTTATTTGTTAACAACTTTTGCAAATCGTCAATTATTTCTATAAATACTTAAATAAAATGTAAAAGCGAAACGAGTTTCCAACTCTGTCCATACACAAAACTATGCAAATCAATGAACGAGGTCAGCTTGGGTCCATTATCGGGGCTTAAAGCACGTAACAGTCGGTGGGGCAATATTGCCATATGTCCTTACAGACCATAAAACTGTGCAAATACAAATATGTATGTCAGCAAGCATTTCCCCCGCATCCTTATTTCCTTCCTCCCCTCAAACAGAGCAAACCAAACAGAAAACATGTAAAGCTGTATGTGTGATGGCAGGGAATTTTCAAATATTGAGCTGGGAAGAGCTCAGCAAAATCTCGACCATTACATAACTGACTAACTGACTAACCTGGCAGGCAAACACACACAAGGCACACACGCACACTGGGCCATAAAAAATGATGCCGTACTTACTTACCATGACTTTAATGACTTTGACTGCATCAGGAGCCAGCCGCAGCATCTTCCTGCCGCAAAGCCAAACTAATCAGCACGTGTGTGCGTGCCAGCATGTGTGTGTGCGGTGTGTGCGGTGTGTGTGAGTGTTATTTAGACGGAGCACAAACAATGCTTAACCGACTCTCGGTGGGCGGTGGCAAGGTGACTAACTGACCGACAGACAGACAGACAGGAGCAGGAGCAGGGGCAGCCTGCGGAGAGACCTTTTCCTTGGTTATCCTGCTCTTTTTTTATACACTCGCTTAATAGTTTTGTTTGTTAACGTGTGAGTGAGTGTGTGTGTGTGTGGGTGCAGCATCATTACGGCACAGTAAGCCTGGTTTCCTTTTTTATTATTATGTGTGCGTGTGCCCACAGACAGGAGGTGCCTCCTGGCCAACACACACAAGCACACAATCTTAATTCCACGTTGACGACATGGAAACTAGGTTACTTTTTCAACTGCCACGAGTGCAGCAACAAAAAAAAAAAAAAAAGGAATACAAAATAAAAAAATAAACTAACAACAATTGTTTATTAAAAGGCAGTCCTAGTTGAAACTCATGCTCAGTTGGCTTCAATGGCCTTGCTCTGGCCTATAGAGAGAGCCAGAGCGAAGGGGAAGTCCCGTGTGACCGCTAAAGTCCCCAAATTGCCAGTCCAACCAACCATTAGATTCTAGAAAAGAAATGCGACAAATTGACAGTTCACCAAAAGAACTTAAAGGTCAGAGATAGAAAGAACTAACCAAGGAAAGGAAAGTTGCCTCTTATCATCCCTTATCTCACGAGAAGTTCAACATTAAACTTTAAAAGAAAAAACCGCTTGTTCAAGTAACAAATAAAAGTGGTAATATGTCTGTCCTCGGGTTAACTTTGAGTTGAGTGGGAAAAAGTTATGGGCAGACCATCATATATCCATCTAACTTTACCTATAAGCTTTCAGTTTTCTATTAGCCTCTCTCCCCCCGAACACAGACAGACCACAATGAATGTTAAATTATTTGCACTTGACGTCCTTCCTGTGTTGCAATATTCGTAATTGAAAGCAATGACGGACGAACGAGTTGTTTCAACAAGCTCTTCATTAACGACGCCGCTCAAATCTGTTGCATGTTGCATGCTTCCCTCAGCATCATCATCATCATGCTCTAGTTAAACCGCAAAACGGGGGAAAATTGTAGAAGAACTAATGCCACTGGCATACAACCAACTGTGGAAGCAACAAAAGTGCATCAATAAATTCAATTTAAAGGTACAATAGATGCCAAACAATCCCTGAGGGCCAAAACGAGTCCCATTCCCAGTAGTTCCAAGTCCTGGCTTTGCTAATTAGGCGTCGGTCTCCATCCGTCAGGCAAACTGGCGTGACGGACTGCCTGCCTAGGACAGGAGAGAGAGGTCCCTTTTTCCTTTCAGCACCACATTTATAATTAAACAACATGAAAGACAAAGCGACCGGCAGACAGAGCGACCAACTGAATGGAAGGACGAAGCAAGGATGGGGAACACTGGGGGACATGGCGGCTCAAAGGACACGGGACACGGTTAGGGCGTTGGCGTGAGGCTCGAAGTTACTCGGCAGCATTTATGAGCGGCCATAATGGCTGTTAACAATTTAACTTGTTTACCGGTGGGAAAGTTATATGTTAATTGGTCTCGCATAGGCACGAGAGCAGCTCCAGCTCCAGGAACTGGGGGCACGCACATGGCATGCCCATGTCCTTGAGGACAAGAGGAATGATCAACTAGATGATGTCCTGTAACAGGTTGTAGGCTTTAAAAGGAACATTAAAGAGGGGCTTAAGCAACCCTTTTTGGAAGAGTTTTGATTTCTCTACAAACCAATTTCAATACAATTTAGATTTTTTTAGGTAATTCCTTCCAACAGAGCCTCCTCAAATAACCCCCTAGATCTCATGTATCTCTGTTATGATATAACACCAAAGACTGCCTAAAGCTTAAGCTTCTGTCCATCTGGTCATAAGTCCCTGAGTAGCTTGTAGCCTAGTCCCCCGAGGCAACACAGGATTCTCCTCCACATGCTCAAAGGATTATTAATCGGCGCATAAATATTAGCAGCATCACACCCAGGACCTTCTGCTGAGTAGCTCCTACAAAAGGCTGGCCGCAAAACAGGAGCACTTGGGGCAAGTGAATAATGGCAGGCATCGTCACCTGTTCAGAGCAGCAAACCAGCACCTAGAGGGGAGAAGCTGCCACATCCTGCATCTTGGTCGCTCTCCTCCTCCTCATCCTCCTTTTGGTTCCTGGTCCACTTGGGCATTAACACGTTGCGATTACGCCTCATAGACCATGCAAAGCCAGGCGAGGGCGGGACCTGGAAGTTGGTTGGTTGTTCGGGAGACCAGGATGTGTCCAGGCTCTTCACTCTCACTTATTATGGGGCCTTTGGACCACATATATGCATATATATTATATATATATGTGTATATATATGAGTTTGATGACGACAGCAGCAGCAGCAACAGCAACAGCAGCAGCAGCAACATCAGCAACAGCTGCAGCAACGATGTGTGATGTTGCACTCGCTGGCTGTGGCCTGGAAATGGGATTACTAATTTTTGCAATTAAATGAGAGCGTAAAAAGGGGAAAATTACTTACATTTTTGCTCTAGCCTTGCTGCTGCAGAGTGCCTGTGTGTATAAGCGTTTTTGTTTGGTCTGTTTGGTGGCCATTTGGGGCAAGAATTTTTTAATTAAATTTGACTCGCGTTCCAGCAAATAGTGTGTGCTCCGTGCTCCTTCTCTCACTCTGAATTAGCAGCTTTGCGCAGCAAATCAATCAAAATTTTAACACAACAAAGGACTTGAACATATTAACTTGAACAACAATCCAACCTGGACAGTCACGTATCCGTCCGTATATCGATATATCCGTATCTGGTTCTGTGCTGTGTCCGGCTGTGTGTGTGTGTGTGATTGATTGGCAAACAAATTTTGACACTTTACACAACACCCACGGATGGGTTGGGTGGGTAACCAATGTTTGTTCCTCCTCCTGCTCCTGATACTCCTGCTCCTGATACTCCTGCTCCTCCTCCTGTTCCCCAAACGATTTCCATTCCAACTTCAGTTTGTTGAGCGTTAATTAAAACTGCTGTAAAATGCACAAAAGCGTTGGGCAAACAGTAACCGCGACGACAATCGCAGGGGGTCATGTCAAGGGGGGTTTTTTCTCTTCTTTTTTTCTTTTATTTTTTTTTTGCTTTCTGTAAAAAAAGCGAATATTGTGTGTGAAAAATGGGGGATATATTGTACACACACAGAGATACGAAATGTGATAACCTGAGAGCAGCGTAACGGATATAAACAACAGCGGAAGTTAAACTATGTTGGACTGTGCTTAAAGTAAATAGTCTGGATTGATGAAAGTTGCATTCGAGAATTCATCAACAGGCATTTACTTCAACTGCAGTTCTAACGAAATGCAACTGGATAATAACGAGTGCGCAGTGATGATTATTTTATTAAATATATCATATATTCTTTTAAAAGTTACTTGGCAGAATAACAAACTTGTTCCATAAGAGTTACCGATTAGTGTACAGAAGTAGTTACTGAACTTAATTTTATTAACAAAATTCTATCATAAATAGGAACTAATCCGACATACTTTATATTTTACAGCAAAATTTGAACTAGCAATTGATTATTGGTTTCTAAAAGATTTATCTTCAAATTTATGATGGTATTTTGGCAATAAGTGATAAAATATTATAAAAACCGTGACCCTTAACTGAATATTAAAAACTTATAATATAATAAATAACCTTCATAAACCTTCAAAAAGCAAAGTTAAGGTTTTTTAAAACACCTTAAAAATAAACATTAAATTATGCAAAGATACATTTTTTAACAGAAAGCAAAAGTTGATATTTGGTTAACTTTATTTTAAGGCATAATTTATAAAGACTTTTTAAAATATGTTTCAAAGTATGCAAAATTATATTTTAACAAGAAAAGGAAGCTAACTTCGGCACGCCGAAATCTATATACCCTTGCAGATTGAAATCACTAGGAAATAATACAATATAAATTATATGTATTTATGTTAAATAACACCGTTTATGTTTATTTTATATTCACCGTTTTGCATTTTTTAACGATCATTTGTATTGCAGCTATATGATATAATAGTCCGATTTTCATAAAATTTTACACAAAATTCTAGATTAATATATACTGGCTATATATCAAAATTTATGAAAATCTGTTGAAAACTGGAAAAGTTATAAATTTTAATTCCTAAAAATTTCCGATCGTTCCTATGGCTATATATATGTATATATATATATAGTCCCCCGATTCGCCATGCTGCGACTTATATAGTAGTAAAATTATATTGAAGAATAACTCTATAGTTTCGGTAAAATAACTTAAATTTGTTACAAAACAAATCTCGTACATCTGTGCATATAATTCCCAACTAGTTCTAACATCCCCGGAACGAAGTGACTGCTGCCGGCCAAGCTTCTAATACGTGTTGTGATACAAAAGTTGCAAGTCATTGTTTATTAGTGTTCAAAGTTAGTCACTGATTATACTTCCTTACTGGTCATAGATACTTACTGATCAGAGTTACTTACTAGTCAGAGTTACTTACTGGTCAGAGTTACTTACGAGTCATAGATACTTACTGTTCAGAGTTAATTACTGATCATACTTAATTACTGGTCATAGTTAATTACTAATCATAGTTCTGCAAATCGTCTTATTGTTCCTATGCCAGCTATATATGTATATATATATATGTATACATATATAGCCCACCGATTTGCCATGCTCCAACTTATATAGTAGTAAAATTATATAGAAGAATAACCTCATAGTTTCAGTCAAATAGCTTAAATTTGTTCCAAAACAAATCTCGCACATCTGTGCATATAATTCCCAACTAGTTCTAACATCCCCGGAACGAAGTGACTGCTGCCGGCCAAGTTTCAGATATGTGTTGTGATACAAAAAGTGCAAGTCATTGTTTACTAGTGTTCAAAGTTAATTACTGATCATAGTTACTTACTGATCAGAGTTACTTACTGGTCATAGGTACTTACAGTTCAGAGTTAATTACTGGTCATAGATACTTTCTGATCATAGTTACTTAATGTTCATTGATACTTACTGGTCATAGGTACTTACAGTTCAGAGTTAATTACTGGTCATAGATACTTTCTGATCATAGTTACTTAATGTTCATTGATACTTACTGGTCATAGGTACTTACAGTTCAGAGTTAATTACTGGTCATAGATACTTGCTGATTATAGTAACTTAGTGGTCATAGATACTCACTGAATGATCCTCTAATTAACTGCAAAGTTACATTGAGATACCTTCAAAAATGAGGAACTAGCCTGCAAGGGTATAAAAATGAATTCAATGTTCTTACTTTCTATAGTTTCTATGATTTTTACCCTTGAAATCTCTTTAAAATATGCCACATAGTTTGGCAAAACACCCAACTTAATCTTAATCAAATTCTAGTGTTGGGCCATTGTAAAAGATGAGCGGAAATAGCTTTTAAAATAAAAAAAGAGGCAAAATTAATATCACTTACATCTCGGCTCTTTTTATCGTTGACAGTGCGACAGGAGAACGAGCGGAACTTCCGCGAGAATCTGGAGCGCACCTGGATGATGAAGAATCGCACCGAGCTGAATCTGCAGCGCCAGCAGATGGACATGCAGCTGCAGGTTCCATGAACGCGAACGGAAGGAAGGATGTGACACCGATGGCAACAGATGCGACCGGATCCGGAAGCGATGTCAGATGCGCGGAGGGGAAATGTCAACGGTTGGGAGCAGCAGCAGCAGCAGCAGCAGCAGCAACCATTATAACAACAACGACAACTGGCAAGGACACGACGAGAGTTTTGTGGCAGGAAGCCAGAGGGGGAGAGCTTCTTGTACCGCTCCAGCCTTGTCCCCTTTTAACCATTAAGTTCTTTTATCCTCCTCCTCGTTTTCTCAGCCCTAATCAACGTTATGCGCACAAAAGCAACCAAAGAATAACAACAACAAGAGATCGAAAAACATAAAACAAAAAGGGAAATTGTTAAACAAAAAATAATACTAATTAAATGAGAGGATGGAGGAGCGAGGAGCGAGCACTCCGAAGTGCTCGGCTAAAGCTAAAGTTAATGCTAATTGTAGTTAAGTCTGCTCCGGCGGAAATCACTTGTTTTATATCTAACTGAGAGGTAGACTCCACTTAGAGCAAACAAAAACCAAACAAAACAGAACAAAAAACCATGCAGAAGAAAATCAAAAGTGATGTCAGTTTAGTCAATAGTTAAAAAACAAAGCAAAAACGTTGTTTATAGAGTTACTTCGATGGCATTTTAAATGTTAGGTCCGGCACGTTCTGGTTCTTTAATTCGCCAAGAAATAATATTTCCCCTTGCAGTCTTCATTTGGTTTCATTTAAGTCTGATTGATGTAAAGATATGTATATGTATATGTTTTAATTTAATTTCCGGCGAAATCATTTACCAGAACGGACTCGATTGTCCTGTAATTATTGTGCTTAGGATCTAGTGCAGGACGACGACGCCAATTAAGCGAAAGGTTTCGATTGTTCAGTTGATTAGCCAAATGGTTTCAATTTTTCTTTAGCAAAATGATTTTCCCTCGTTTTTCCCTCAACCCAAAAAAACGGCGTCGTCGAGCAGGAAACAAAAAAAGAAAAAAAAAATATGAGAAAAGAAAGAAAGTTGGTCAGTAGTTATGTCTGAAACTAAGTTGTTAACTGAAAAGTACTCCTAAGTAAATGTTAATAGCAATAAACAGCAGAAAAGTTTTTGTATCTCTTAGATGGCGAGTTGGAGGAGAAGAAGCGCAGCAGTATTCCAAGATACAGTTTCGGTAGAAGAATATACGATTTTCATAGGATAAACACACACAACAACAATAATTGTAAAAGAATCAATAGATTTATTCCCACTTGGTCCTTGGAAGGAGTACTTGTGCCAAAAAAAAACAAGGGAGGATAAATCCTAATAGGAACAAAGCAGCCCAGGTTGCATAGCGTTAATTAATAAACAATGGCGATGGATGGGTTAGAGTTAATTAGCGGATCGATGTGAAAACTGTTACTTAAGTGCAAAACGAGCTTGTTGTCGAATTAATTTTAAAACGTATTACTAACTAAGTGAAACTAAGCTAAATGTTACATGTTTTTTAGGTGTTCAATGTTACAATTAATTTGTGCAGCAGCGCTAGCCCCTCACTATCAATACGTACTCTATATGTGTACTATATAGTGTATGTATTTAATTTCGATCAGCCTGTGTGCTCACTCAGTTGCAAAGTTTAATGACAAAATTTAGCTTGAAGCAAACTTCTATCGGTTTCAGCAGAGAGAACAGCGTTGAATGCTTTTGAACACACAAAGTTGTGAACGAACGACGGCCTCCTCCAACTTTCTTCCCCCAATTACAATTCACAATTAACCGGAAATCTGTACATATTTCGATTGGGAAAATATTCCCTCAAAAACATTCGCTCAAATGCACATTTTGCAAATTAAAAGCCTTCTTGCCAAGACAAATGTGAGTTTGACAGCCTAAACATTAGCTTAATGCGTTTCGCAGCCACAAGCCACAAGGTTTCCCATTGATTTATTCACATAAATCAGACATGTCTCTCAAATATATAGACAGAGAAAAATTATTATGTCATTTCGTATAGAATATATACATTTTGCAGGCAATTTAATATATATTTGCTCTGAAAGTACCAAGCAAATGTTTCTATTTTAATTTGTTCTCTTTTTTAACAGAGTATTTGCTAGCTTTTAATTTAAATTTGGAATTTATGAAAGATTCTAGACAACCTTGATTTTTTATTTGAAGTCTCTGATGAATATTCATCATATTTACATCGTTAAAATTGTCAAAAATTAATAATAATTTTAATTTTTTTAATTGAGCTTGCAGATTTATTACCCCTTTAAAAACTACAATAGAGCTGCTTTCCGATATAAAATTAATACTGTTTTGACTTTGTTATGAGCTTTTTAAATTTTTAATTTAGGGAAAAATTGCCATCTGAAAATATAGATAAATATCGGCTCAATGAATTCGAATAATTACATTATAATTCGATTACAAACTGCAAGGATATATAAACTTCTGGTTAGTCTCCTTTCTTGTGAAATATACCCCTTAAAATTCATAAATTCTAAAATTTCTTGGGGAAACTTGGAGAAGGCAGTCGTTCGATATGGCGTGCAGGGCGAAAAAGAAATGGAAAGCTTTAAATTAGCTCAATAAATTGTAAACAAAACAAAAAAACATTTAATCTACTTAGGGCGGCAGGAGCGTTGTTGTTGTTGTTAAATGCAAATACAAGTACGTCAAAGACAGACACACACAGTTACACCCCATTAAGATTTGTAAGATTTGCATTTCTTGGTCATGGAATCAATTTCATATTTGACCAAAGGCACACACACAAAGGCTACGGAGGCTAAATAATTAAACTCAGATTAACAGAGACACGGCAACCACAAGGGATATTTAATATAAACAAAAGCCGAAGAAAAACATTGTGCTTGATAATTGCATTTAACAAAGGCGGAAGGCGGCAGGCAGAAGCGAAGATATATATATACTTGATTTAACCGCATATGCTATAGCTAACGAGAAGGGTAAACCGGAGGTAAGATTCAGAGGAAAACTAATTAAACACCCACTAAACACAAACTAATGTCTGTAATTATGGCTAGATAAATGTAAAAATGTAAGCTGAATTATTATACAAAAGAAAAATCAACAAACAACTACGATCGAAGCAAGTAAATTGATGTAATTGAAATACTCGTAACGTTTTAGGGCAACAAAAAATATGAATAATACAAACACGCAGCCACAGCGATCATAAATTAATAAATAACAAAATTATATTTCTCGAGTAAAAATCAAACTTTTTAGCCTTTGAACGAGAGACTTTTGGTGCCCAATCCAGTTTGAGCAATTATTTACAAATGAAAAATATAACGAAAGACACACAAACACACATACACAGCAAATGTATTGTAAATAGGAAAACAAAAAGCATACACACACACACACAGATGGGTAAATTCCAAGTAAATAAATAAATAATGTGTGGGCTTATCCAAGTAAATCAACATTTAATAAATTAAGAACGGAAATCAAACAAAAACAGGTAATAATACACTTCAACTTGTGTGTTGAATCAACTTTTACTGTTAATTGTTGCTGGGAAATGCAGAAAAAAACAAAAAACAAAAAGAAAAACAAGGAAAAACCCAAAAGAAAAACAAATAAACCATTAACAAAAGCAAGCGAAAAACAAATATATATTTAAAAACAAAACAAATACATTTGAACGCCTTCAGCGTTTTATTCATCAAGCAAAGAAATGTTGCAAAATGCAAATCAAAAAACGAAATGAAAACCTAAAAAGTAACAAGTAAAACTCAAAGTCAAAGTCAAACAAAAGCCATACAAGCGATAAATCAATTTGTGTCACCTGCGTAGTAAGTATATATCTCAGTATTTGTAACTGAAGTCTGTTGGAAAGCACGTATGCGGGCAGCGAACAACAAAACAAGAAACAAAAATACAAAAATACAAAACAAAAATAAAAGCGAAGAGAAATCAAATGAAAATAAACTGAATTTACAAGTGGACAACCAGTTGTATTATTTATACGTATACGTAATATTGGGGCAGTCACGGTTTTCAAAGCCAAAAGGGTTTCAAATTCGAAATCAAACTTTTTTTCTTCAAAATTCAAATTCAAAATTTCAAACAATGCACTGCTTGGAACTAGTTCACAGAGATTATATGTAGTTCAAACTGCTTGGAACTAGTTATCACTGCTTACTTTCCTTAGAATCTGCATTACCTACAACCGGAAAAGCTTGGTGGTGCCATCTGGTGAAAGCTTCCGGATGGAGAAATCCAAAGTTGGCAGCAGTGTGACCATGTCCAAGAGTAGTTTACAAAAATACCAAAACAAGCAGCTATCGTGCCGCGCTTTGGCCTATCGATAACAATTGCGAGCTTTGTTATCGTGATCTGTGCTCAGAAAAAAAAACGCAGCAGGGAAAAAAGTGAAGATAAATTAATTAGCAATTAGCAATTAGCCAGTGTGTAAATATTGCGAGCGTGTAAAACAGCCGCCGCCAGACTAGAACCAGCTGAGTTGATAGCTCCCATTGTCCCAAACCGTGCCAGCGTTCCGCGTGGACGTACGTGAAACCAAAATAAACAAGTGAGGAAGGAGCAGGGCAAAGCGGAGGAAGAGAGACGAGACAACGGAGCAGAAACAAAAGCACAAAGCGGCGGACAGAACCAGTTGAAAAAAAACAACAAACCGGAGCGGACGAGCACACGAGCAATCTCTCGCCAAGTCGAAATTTATTTTTGTGTTTAGTGCGCCCCTGTGTGTATGTGTGTGTGTGTGTGCGCGAATATATATATAATATTTAAACAAAAATCATACGCCAGACAAGAAGATCTCGCAGCGGCAGACAGATAAATAAAAACCGAATTTGAATCCCCCCAAAAACAAAAAGAAGACGACAACAGAAAACCACAATCGAGGGACAAAAACAACGCCGACGACGGAGACGGAGACGGTGACGCGGCAGGCAAAGGTGCTGGAGGTCACTCGCGGCACATTTCGCGCACGGTCGTCTGTCCCCCCGCTGTCCATGTCCCCCCTGCCCCGACTTGACACCACCCCCGGACGCGTAACCAGTTCGAGTTCCATCCGCCCGCAACAGAGCACGCGCGATCTTCACACACAAAAAAAAAAAAATACAAATAATTAAGAAAAAAAGCGAGGAGAACGTAAAAAACAATAGCGAAGCTCACGCGCTTCTCTTTTATTATTATTGTGTGCGCTCTCGACTGATAAACGTCAGTTGATAAATACATTTTGTCGTCGCATCCAGCAGCAGGAATAAGCAGAGACAGAGACAGCGACGACGACGACGACGGGGAGTAAAGGGGAACAAACACCAGCAAACAAACACCAATTATTCCAATAAAGCCAGCGCCAAGTGCGAATGCGCCCTCGATTTGTATGCCATCAGCAGCAGCAGCAGCACTCGGCGGCAGCGGCGGCGGCTACCCATTCCCACTTCCACATCCATTCCCATTCCAATACCCATACCCATTCCCATAACCACGTCCAGCCTGAGCCGCGTCCACATTCCCACATTGACGTCAGCTATCGACGTTATCGCAACGCTACCAGCATGGTGGTGGCAGAGACGGGCGGCGGCGGCCTGGTCGGCATGGGAATGGGAGTCATGGACACCTCCGCCGGATCGGGACACTTCAATGAGACACCGCTCTCCGAGCTGAGCATGGAGACACGCACCCAACTGTCGCGCATGCTCAACCGCAAGAAGGTCCTGCGTTCGGAGGAGGGCTATCAGCGGGATTGGCGTGGAATTTCGGAGCTGGCCAAGCAAAAGGGTTTCGTGGATGAGAATGCCAATAATCCCATGGATCTGGTACTTATCAGCTGGAGCCAAAGGAGTCCGCAAACCGCGAAGGTCGGACACCTGGAGAACTTCCTCGGCATCATCGATCGATGGGATGTCTGCGATGATATCCAGGAGAATTTGGGTAGGTTTTTTATAACACTTATGACAATATAATAGATTGGGCCTTATAAAACTGATTTATAATGTGTTTATTGAAGGCATGTGATGGTTATGTCTTTTATATAGGTTCTGAAAGCATTCTATCTTCTATTTGGAATTATTTGTGTTAATTTACAAAGGTTAGATCCTCTTTATAGGCTTCTCCCATTTTGTTTCATATAATTAGTTAAAGATATTTTAAAGGTTAAGATAAATTTACACCATATAGTTATTCTTGGAAGAATTTTTAGTATGATATATGGCTCAAAGAATTATTTGCATGTATATTAGATAATCCAATTAGAAGCTATAGCCTCTCTGTAGTAAGATCAATATTGTGAAAACTTGTATTTACAGGGAACTGATAAATAAAAGATATACTTCATAAACTATATATGTATATAGCTTTACAACTTTCGCAAAGATCATGCCATGTAAAGTTAAGTTTAAAAGCATTATTTGTAAGGAATATTAATCAATAACTAAAAACTTCCTTCACTATATCTAAAAAATTTTATATTTTGTGTTTTTTTGAATGTATACTGTATAAATAGGTACATATATCTGCAATTATTCCTTTCTGTGTTACCTGTACTTATCGCCAAACACATTGAGCAAAGCTATTCAAAAGATAAGTCGGTTAGATTTATTATTAGCACAAAAACGTTTCGAGTTGGTCATAATGTTTGTGGGAATGTTTGTGACGTTATCCAAGTTAAACTAGATAGCAGTTATATCATTCTTATCTATCTTTATATAACACTAACTATCATTAGCTAAAACAACATACAAACCTATGATAGTGTAGTTAGCTAAAAAAGGAATTATAATTTCCGAATGATTTGTTTTTTAAGGCATCGTTATTTATTAGCCAAAAGCATTCAAGTTATAATTTTATTACTTACCCCATAAAAATCAGTGTCAAAAAAGGAAGATATATTACCAATTATTCTTGAATAACTAAACAACTAATGGTTGTATAGGAAAGTGGTCTATAATTTATGAAAAATTTAAGATTACTAACAAAACATATCAAAACAAATAACCTTGCAACCCAATAGGTTTTGTTTTTTATATTCTTTATTAATTTATTTATAAAATAAAATGGAAGCCAACTTCAGGGAGCTGAATTTTGTATACCCTTTTTTGGTTGCAATTGAAAAACCCTCATAACTAAGCCAAAAACGCATTAATTTCAATTCGGTAAGCTGTCTAATGTTAGTTTTTATTAGATTATTAAATCTACATACTGAGTTTTAAAATTTAAGAAACTAATTTTTTTTTTGCCAATTTTTGACAATTTTAACGATGTAACCCCTTATAAAATTTTTAGAATTTTGAAAAATTTATTTTTCTTCCAAACATGTTAGTTTAACTCAGCTGTTGATGCTGATCAAGAATATATATGTTTTATAGGGTCGGAAATGATTCCTTTACTGCGATTCAAACTTCTGACTAAAATTAGAATACCCTGTAAAACGTATAAAAATATAATGTAGATGGCAAAATTGAATTTCGAATCTCCTGATATATTCTGGGTGTTCCGTAAAAACACATATGTATTATTATTTGAGCTTTCTATATATCTCTAAATAGATATATTTAATTAAATTTCTGCTTAAAGTTAAAAAATTACCTTTTCCAAGAGATCTATGTTGTTGATTCTAGAATTTGCGTTCTAAAATCAACAAAAACAGACTGTTGTTGTTTGTTGATTTCAAAAAAATAACAAACTGCTCTGACTTTGAACACATGTTTTCGGTCTAGAAATTGAATTCCTCATTCTAGAAAGATGCTTCACAGCGCTGTAGGTATTTTATCTGTGGCCAAAAACTTAATTAATGTTCCGAGGAAATCGTGCGAATTGGAAGTTTAATTTGTGGAGGCCAAACTCACAGAAGAAACGCTTTGATTAAAGAAGTTTAGCAACATTTTCCATTAATAATATTTATAAAATTTATATTATTTAAATTTAAATTTAATTTGCAGCCAAGGACACCAGTCGCTATAATGTCAAGCGGGAGCAGCGACAGGCAGCTTTGGTGGAGGCCTGTCCTCCGCCTCCCAGTGACTGCTTCGAGGCCAACAACAACAATAGCAACTACAGCAGCAGCAACAACATCACCGTGGGCCAGAGTGTCCAAATCCTGAGCGATGAGGATCAGCGATGTGTCCAGATGGGTCAACCGTTGCCCCGATATAATGCCTGCGTTTTGTACGCCGAAGCGGATATCGATCATGCCACCGAGATCATGAATAATCTGGAATCGGAGAGGTACAATCTCAGGGTGAGTTGATATACATAGATGTTAACCGTTTTGGAATGCCATTAAAACTGAGTAATCTCGCCACCTGCAGCTCTTCCTGCGTCACCGCGACATGCTCATGGGCGTTCCCTTCGAGCACGTGCAGCTCTCCCACTTCATGGCCACCCGCTGTAATCACCTGATTGTGGTGCTCACCGAGGAGTTTCTCCGGAGTCCAGAGAACACATACCTCGTGAACTTCACCCAGAAGATACAAATTGGTGAGTGTTGCTGCTGGGAGTAACCATAGGTCGGTCCAAGTAACTAGAGATCTGTTCCCGTTCCCTTAGAGAATCACACTCGCAAGATCATACCAATTCTGTACAAGACAGACATGCATATACCCCAAACTCTGGGCATCTATACGCACATCAAATACGCCGGCGACTCCAAGTTGTTTAACTTCTGGGACAAGCTGGCCAGATCGCTGCACGACCTGGATGCCTTCTCCATCTACGCGCCGCGGCAAGTGCAAACGTGAGTGATTATTCCATTTAGGTTTCCTCGAGTGGTTCGATTCAAGTGGCTGCCAGTCATGTGATGATGAATAGTAATCTTGAGATAATTCTAGGCGATTATATGGGCTCTAATATCGAATATAGAGATAATGAAGAAAAGTACTTGTCTAAATTATTGTTTAATATTCATTTTATTACCTCAAGTCCTTGCACTTTGTTTGCAATAAGTTTTAGAGGCTGCAACAATTTGCACATAAAATGTTGTAAACAAAAAATATATGAGCAAATACCACACTGCGTATGGGTGATTTGCTTTGGTACTAAGGCTTGTTACTCATACGCAGTGTGGTATAGTACTTACTGCGGGAATTTTAATTAGAATTTTTCGTATTAAGTAGATGAGATTTTCGGGGGGGTTTACGAGTGGTTTTGAGTATTTGTTTCACATTAAAATACATATATAATGGTTATAATGGATTTACATATATGAATTTAAGAGGTCTTTCAAATGGGAATATAATAGAAAATATTGTTTTTCAAATGTATACACTCTAGATATCCAATTTAAACAATTATTTTCCCCCATTCAGACCCTCTCCCATGGAGGAATCGGCACCTCAGCGTGTGACCACACCGAGCATACGGATACAGATCAACGACAAGGACGTCACCGATATGCCCAGCTACAATAATAGCTACAACAGTGTACCGGAAGCGGCAGAGACCACAGTAGTTTCGGTATCTGGCGACACCAGCTTGCCGCTGCCGGAGATGAAGCCCAAGAAGAAGGATCGGTTTCTGCGCAAGTTCACCCATAGCTTTGGCAAAACACCAAAAAGCGATAGTGGCAAGCCTTTGCGGCACGCTCACTCCGTCAGCACCATCAATGTGACGGAACGGGAGAGGACACTGAGTGCGAGTAGCTCCAATATCTCCACGACATCGGAGAGCAAGAAGAGCTCCATCAAATGGCAGCCGAATATACTGAAGAAGGTTCTATTCTCGCGATCCAGCAGCAAGCTGCAGACGCCAGGCTGAGGAGGAGACCCCCTTGAGTCCCTCTTTTCTGCTCGTGTGTGTGCCCAGTCTAGTTACCACCCTCCATGCTTAGTGATAATCCGTAGCCTGTAAACCTAATCAAAGTCAAATAACTAACTTAATACTACTTAGACGCACTTGTTAACTTATATAAGACAACAACGAATAAAGACAATACCACATATGTACGTACACATATCTGCACCAGATGTATATCACAAAGCGCACAAAGCACACAAAACGACCTAATAACGACTCTTACTGATACGATACGATGATATATGTACTATAGACTTGATAAACACACAAATTGGCAATTGCGTTCAGAGTGAGGAGGTTAAATGCTGACGCTGCTAATCGAAGCGCTCAATTAACTGTTAGTCACGCGTTCGATAAGTGACTTACTTAATTCAATTATATAGCAAGCCAGAAAGCAACGCAACGTAGACCCATCATCTCAGATGAGTAATTGAACACATATAACGTATACGAACTAGTGCCAGTGCATTCCCAGTAGACAAAACTAAACTATTATTTCAGAAACAATGTAAGTTTAAGCATTAAAAGTTAAATTTTTAGTAGATAAAAAATCGTTTTGATGATACTTAGGGAAGGCAATTAAATTGACTAATTTAATTGAGCTCAAAAATAGATGAAAACTAAACATTTTCGAATATTTTACCATAGTTTTGTTATGTTATCATACTTTTTGTCAACTGGGATGTGCGAGCACTATATGCTTTATCAATACCAACCGTGACTGTGACTGTATCGTCTGGTTCTATGGCTAGCACTAAGTATTTGTTTACTGTTGTTTATTTTTGCCATTGGGCAGGTCCCTAGTGATTAGCCTTACTCCGTTAGCGATTCTTAACGATTGCTGTGAATGCGTGACCATATATACGGGCTATATGCACTTAATCAGCACACTTAATACATACTAATATTACCAATACTGTATACTTAGCACAGTGCGTTTCGAAACTATATTTAGCTCAATGTCGGGCATTGCTCCGAGCGACCTCAACGTGCTCTCATTTATGGTTATGAAACGCACCGTTTGCCGTATCGGAAATGAGCTAGCGCTCGGCGGCGGCAATAAACTGTTCAACTGTTTGGCTCAATAATTTATTGTTGAAATGTAGACAACCTTTAAGTTCATGTTCATCTATGTTTAATAAACATTTGCAGTGAGTGAATCCCCCACGAATATATACAGTTGAATGTTTATCGATCCGAGTTCCGGTTAATATCTGCACACAAAACAAAAGTTTTTCGAATTTTTCGGTTTAAATTTTTGTATTTTTTTTGTTTTATTTATTTTCGGTTTTTTTATTGTTTAAATCGTTTAATGTTTTAATAATAGCTCCTCGCTCACATGCCTCTCACTGCTTTTTCCCTCTGTTTTTTTCGCTCTCTGTGTGTTACAATTTACACTGTGAACAAATTTTCTTTTTTTACTTTTTTGTTTTTAGCTTGAGCTTGTTCTTTAAACTTTGTTTTTGTTTTTTCCTTTCTTTGTTGCTTTCTTTTTAATTGAATTTATGTTGTTGTTTTCTTTCTGCTCAATGTTATGTTTGTGTGTGAGTGTGTCTTGTGTATTTATATATCGATTTATATATATGTTATTAATTTTAATCTGTCGTTTGTTATTCGCTTAGCTTTGTTTGTTTTTTTCCGTTTTTGTTTAGAGTTATTTTAATGATTTCATTATCGTTTAACAAAATTAATAAAAACAGTTTTTGTAATTTTTGTTTCCACTTCATTTTGTTGTTGTTCTTGTTGTTGTATGTGTATATGTTAATTGATCAATTTATTCGTAATTCTCATATATTAAAACAATGTAACGCATGATGTTGCATCATGTTGATGATGCTGCCGCTGCTCTCTCGCTCTATGAATATTATTTGCAAATTGGTTTTTTTGGTAGCTTAATTAATGCCTCTTCATTTGGGGAGCTCGCTCTCTATCTCATCTTATAAATCTAACTGATTGCATTTACACAGAGTGTGTGACGACGACGACGAGTCTGAGTGGGAAAGGGAGAGGAATCGGAACAGGAACCGGAAACAGGATTTGTCTTGGACTTGGGATCATCGGTATATCGGTATCGAAACGGAAAAACCTAACTAACGCAACCGGAACCAAGGGCTGTGTGTGTGTGTATGTGTTTTTATGTGTATGTCATTTATTGCGTTAATTCTCTATAGTTAAGTGTTAACAATGATTATGATTATGGAAGTCAGCTGAAGAAGTCTGTATCGGTTTTGGAAGTTGAGTTATCATTATCATCGTATTGCGAGTTCCCGTCTTATAACTATGTAATGCTTGCCGAGTACGCGCCAATAGGTATTCTTCGCTTCGATTCGATCTCCGCCCTCTCGAACTCGGTCCTTTAATCATACATACATACACATGGAGAGATATATTCATCGTCGTGTTTTTAGTTTTTGGTTTTGGGTCGCTTGCCGTTCTCGACTTACTAATAAATTAAAACAACGCTAATGAATTTGTTTTTCGCTTCGCTAATTGTGAGTTCTCGTTTAACGTTCCTTCTCTTGTTTGCTTTACTTTATTTGACTTTTTCCCAACCTGCCTTTCTTCGCTTTTTTATTATTATTATCTCTTTATCAATTAATTATCAACTTTAATTTTTCATTTATACATACTAGGTTTTTCTTTGGAATTTTTGTTTTCATTGATTTCCCACATTAATGCTTAGATTTTGTGCCTTGGACAAACGTCTGTTAAAAATCGCTTTCTCTTTTCGCTATCCGCCTTCGCCTTCCCCTTCCGTTTTACTTTATTATTTCGTTTGTTTTGTTTTACTTTCTTTTAGTTTTTACTTTTTTATAGAGCAGAATACAGTTTGTGGTTGACCTCGGCTGTGTTTACTAAGTCCTAATCGTTTGCTTCATTCCCTGTGCTACTCGCGGTGTTTAATGGAGCAGCGGTGTTAGTTTGTGGCTCTCGTATCCATAGATTTGGTCCAGGACAGAGGGAGGAGCTCGTAGACCAGCTACGGCTGCTTGGGGAAGCAACTGGGGGAAGAGATCCCTCAGGACGAAGGGGAACTAACTATCTAAAATCAAAAATATGTTTAAAAACTGATACTTTTTAAAATAAGTTTGAATATATTCGAAGGTAGAATCAGAAATCTTGAAAAAATCAAATTTTAAAAGTTTGAATATCTTCAAAAATGTACAGATTTTTAAACTGAGTATATTCCTGATTTTAGACATTATCCTCCATAAAAAGCCGCTTGCTCATTTAACTCGATTGCTTGATACCCGTATGGAACAGTCAAAGTTCTGGAAGTGGAAGCCTATAACTCAACGAATGCATCTTGATGGCGAGATGTTGGCAGTGTTTTTTCGCTTACATTTCTTCGATTGCGGTCGTGTGTGTGCGCATGCGTGTGTGTGTGATAGTTCCGATGGATCTTGATCTTTACCCAATTAGCGCGGTCTATATCTACTACACATTAATTTCATTTTCTTTTCTTTTTAGTCTGTTTGTCAGGCATTTACGAGCATTCATTTTTTGTTTTTTGCTTATTGTTTCTATTCTCTGTGTTTAATTTTAACATTGTGCGCGATTTTTGTTGAACGTTTGACAACACTACAAATAACGGCAGTTTTACATGCTGATGCGGATGATTCGTCGGGAATTGTTGCACAGATTTGTATGTTTTTTTAGGGAGTGTGGAAAATGTAGCAACATTAACAAATAATATGCCTCAAATCGACGAGTGTTCGCTGTCCAGGAACTATACAAATGCGGTTTATACAGAGTGGGTGTGCCACAGAAATCGTTATGGATTTAAAAACAATTTAAAGATTTAAAAACTATTACAATATTTCCAAAGAGATGTCAATTAAGACTTAAAAACTATTGGAAGATGTCAAAAAGTAGACATTGAAATAGATTCCTTATTTTCTACCCACTTTTTTGCACAATTTTTAATAGATTTTAAATCACAAACGATTTCAAACACCCATTACAACCCTGTATCTTTCTTTTTCTAGGCTTTGGGGGGACAAAAAAACAACTGAGGAACTCTGAGGAACAACACTACATAGGATTTACGAGAGACCGACTGAACTAACAGTTAGACTTTCAGTGTACGTCTCCCCCATTCTTCTTTTGGCAACAACAATTTATAGTCTCTGTTATCTATATAATCTCTCTCTACTCTTCACAACTTATAGTCTTTGGGTTCAGATTAGAGATTTCCTGACTCGATTCGCGAGTGGCAGTCTGTGTCTGTGAGGGGGTTCTATCCAACTAAATAAGGCTATTTTGGCACACAATCACAACGGAACACGAGACATCTATTGTACAACAACGATAATAATTAATAATTAATAATAATAATAATAACACAGGGAATATATGGGTATGGGGTTCCGGAAGTGCATGCTCTGATGAATTATGTGGGCGTGGGTTACTCCAATTCGATTTTTAGATATTCTCTCTCGATTTTTTTGTTTTTTTGCTTTTAACGTCGGTCCCCGTCTATGAGAATTCTCTTGCTAAATGCTACAAAAACTGCGATTACCTGGTTTCGCGCTTATGTGTGTGTGTGTGTCTGTGGGGGGTGTGTGTGTATATGAAAGTGTGGTGTGATTTGTTGTGGCTGGCTTTGCTTTCGCCTTTTTGTTTTTATAATTCACGTTTATGCTTACTTCACTATTGTACAATGTGCGACTTGCATTATTATATTCTCGTAATTATTTTATATAAGTATATATGTATATATGTATGCATGTGTGGCTGTTGGTGTGTGTGTGTGTGTGTGTGTGAGTGTGAGTGTGTGGTTGAGCTGCTGGGCTACTCCTATATATTTTTGGTTTTCCTTTTTTTTTGTTAAGTTTTTGTCGTTTTTTTCGGTTTTTGGTTTTTGTAAAATGCGCTAGTTTATTGATACCTTCAACCACTCGTGGGTCTGCCCGCCTGCCTGCCTGCCCATCTAAATTCTGTCCTCCTCATCCTCCTCTTCCTCCTCCTCCTCAACCTCCTCGCCGTTCTCCTCGAGCTCCTCCTTGTAGCCGGGATGCTCGGAGATGGCATAGTAGTTGCCATTGTAGATGACGCCCAGTTCGCGCAGCGCATCGCCGCGTATTGTCGCCTTTATCGTCCAGTTGTAGCAGTCGTCCGACTCGGACTCCCGATCCAACCGCTCGACGTCGAGTATC